GATATTACTAAAGTTTATTTAAGTGGCCATATTGGACCTGTTAATATTAATACTTTTATGGTAAATAGTATTAAATCTAGGGTATTCTTTCTTCTACCTCTTTTTCTTCTTATTTCCTTTTTGTTTTGTTTTGTACTTTTTCTGTATTATATCAAATATAGATTCTTGTTTTTTAATTATAATAGTAATAATCATAATTTACAGACTTTAGCAACAGATTAAGGCATAAAACACGTGTTTTTCTTTTTTCTCTGTCTTGGTTGGAATTAACCCACAGGAGACACATCTGTAGTTTATTTAGTTGTTTTTCTGTTTTTATCACTCAAATCAACGTCTTTTCTTCTGTTTATCTTCAAAAACCATCACAGCTGTTTTGATTCTATTTGGTATTTAAATGAAGACGTTTCGTTTTTTAGATAAAAAATATTTTTCCCAGTTTGATTTTTCTGCAAGCTTCTTCCTCTGTGACTCAGATTAAATTAATCCAGAAAATCCCAGCCTCTGTTTGTCAACTCGTTAGCATGCAGAGCTAACAGCTAACGGTGAAGCTGTTCTGTTCAGTCTTTAATTTCAGCGTGCAGTCATTCATTAGTTTACAAACGGTTCTGATCCCGTCTGTTTCTAATGAATCAACTGGACCACAGAATGTTCTCAGATGTTCAAACGACTCAGAAGGAACGTGAAGTTTCTGTAATTCGTCCGGCTGGTCTGCACCCTCCGTGTTCTGAGTCCTGCTGTTTTTACCGTGTGTGTCGTCTCCTTATCTGTGTGGTAACTCCAGACTGTGGTTTGTTTTAATGTTGTGATTATTTACTTCACTTAACATCACCTTTCTTATCTTTTCATCTGTTGGTAGTTTCTTGTTTCCCAGTTTGGATAAAGATGGCCGCCTTTTGTTTTCCCGCCGTTTCATTTCCGCTTAAATCACATAAAAAAAATAAAAACAACGTGCTGCAAACTAAATATAATTAAACTGTATAAACTAAACTGAACAGACCATAAAACACAATCAACAGTCGGATAAAACAAAACAAGCCAAAACTCAAAGAATCTCACTTCCTGTGAAAACGCAGCGTGAACGCTTGTTCACGAATGATTTAGCTGAAAGTTGCTGAAGAAGCTAAAGCTTACTTGAAAGATGCCAATAACTGAAAAGTAGAAAAAAGAAGCTGAAAGGAGAAAAAAAAAAAAAAAAAAAAGCAGAATTTTTTAAAGTAGAAACATTCTGAAATTAGCATTAAAAAAGCTTGAAGTGTATAATCTGAATTAACAGAAAAATGCTAGAACGAACACAAAAAAGATGAAATTAGAAGAAGCTTAACAGAGCCCAGAACAGCTAAAATTAACAGAATACCAAATGAAAATAGCTGGAAATACACAAAATACTAAAATAGGCTGAAAGAAGCTGAGAGCACATGAATGCTGAAAGTAGATGAAATGTATCCAAACAGCTTAACTTAGTTGAAAGAAGCTAAAAGTACCTTAAAGAACTGTAAAAAGAACAAAAAAGCTGAAACTAGAAGATAGAATATGAAAAGGAAATGCTGAAAAATGCTTTAAAAAAGGTAGAAAAAATCTTAAATGAGCAGAAATAAGCTGAATGAAGCTGAAATGAGAAAAATAAGCTGAAATGAGCAGAAAAAAGCTTTAACAAGCTGAAGCAGAAGAAAAGCTGAAATGATCATTTGTAAACAGGGTTTGAAGGATATGAATAGCTCCATAAATATCCAATGAGGAAAACATGGCTGATACAGCTAAATATTTAAAAAAAATATTAACCTCACAAATCCCAAAGGTCCCAGCAGGAATGTCCTGAAAGAGCCGAACGTTTTGATGTACGAGTTGCTGAAATAGAACAAAGACCGCAGAACGAGTTATGAGCTGAAGAAGTAAAACGGATGCTAGCGAGAACAATTGAAAAACATCTGGACTGTTTAGGTTTTAATGAGAACGATTGAGAAACATCTGTACTGTAGATGTTATCCAGAACGATTGAGAAACAGCTGAACTGTTTAGATGTTAGTGAGAATGTTTGAGGAACATCTGGACTGTTTAGATTTTAGCAAGAACAGTAGAGAA